GAATAGCGACTCGTGCCCCTCTCGTGGTCATGTTTGCGACCGGGTTCCGTCTTAGTGCAACCGGACATACCTAAAACTATTGTCAACTCGTTGCGTAATCGTTCACACATTTTCCCAATATATTATATATATTTCAGATGCAATTTAAAGCACATCGGGACGTGCGGAATTATACAGTATGATTGAACACATTTAACTGTGTCTTTGGTATATTTTAGATGCAAGATATATGTAAAATCAAAAATTATTTCTGAGGGATTCTTTGACGAAGAACTTGAAATCATACGCGCATTCTGATTGGTTTGTCGTATTTTCGCATATAACATTCATCGATAGGGGGACGAGTCTTCTTGCAGGTTACGGAAAGGGGCGAGTGGTGACGAATGTGAAAGTCGCGTGAACGTACACGCTATACAGCTGCTTGGTCGTTTAGTATTCAGTCACCATGGTAGAAACGGCTTTATCGTCTCGTTTTGAAGCGAACAAATGGCAGAGTCTGTTGTACATTGAAATATACTATGTTTAAATATTAACACCGGTCAGTCTTTCCAGTTTGGTTCTCGGCTTAGGGTGGAAGCAATATTCAAATTCTCCCGTTGATGTTCATGTTTATTTCCATTGTGTTTTTGTCATCTCCCGATGGAATGTGAGGTCAGGATTTATTGGTGATATCTGAGGTTAATCGTCGAGTTGCTAATGAACGCAAAGAGGCAATTGTATCAAATCTTTTCATCGGGAGGACGCTGTAGTCGGTTTACTGATGATGATAGCAATCACTATTTTGACTATCGTTAATGCAGTTACTATTTCCAATTTGAGAAATAAAACTTCACAGGAAATAGGTATATAGTGAAGTATTTTTGACGACCATCCTATTGCACCAACCCTCAGTCTACAGTCTATCAACGCTTCTTCACAGTGCTCGAACACACAGTTGGGATTAAGTTCATTGTTCCGAAAGGAAATCGCTAAAATGCATGAGTTATAACCTTATGACAACTGTATGAGAAATTTCAAGAAATTACAAGATTTTTTGGGGGGATAAACGCCAACTGCACAAACAAGAATCTCTTGCATCGCTATTCAATCAACACCACGATCGAAGTTTCTGTAATGAAATAGGACAATTGGGCATGGGAAATGTGAGAAACAACTATACCCCTATTGAAGTCATTGATTACGATGGAAATGTGAAAAGAGATATTTAAGAAGTACTGTCATAAAGGAAGAAAATCATAAGAAGCTATATGATCCAGGAGAAAGTGATATATATATATATAAATATATATATATAAATATATATATATATATATATATATATATATATATATATATTTATATATATATATTAGACTCCACACACTTACAACATATTAAAAGGAACGGAAACAGAAAACTTTAACGTAACATCCCAGCAGAATCACTGAAGAATGAAAACTGTATATTGCTACAGAAATTGTTAAATGTTTGTTTTCAACGTGAAAATCCAACAGGATGCTGGAAACAAGGCTTAGTCAACCAAATAACTAAAGCTGGAAGCACAGCTATGCGGAAACCATCAACGTTAAGGGGCATTACCTTAGTATCTGTGTCATGCAAGATTTTCGGTGAAATTCTGAACCAAATACTAACCGAATGACTAGAGAATAACGGACTGTCAGTGGATGAGCAGAATTGTTTCAGAAAAGGACGCTGCTGCCTGGTACATAGTTATACACTTAACTCTATTGTGAAATGTAGGAAAATCGAAAGGCAAAGTACCCTTTCCTGCTTTATAGAGCTAAGAAAGCTTTTGATAATGTGAATAATGACTGACTATGGTTTAAACTGAGAAGGCCCGGATCTTCTGGCAACATATATTCAATGATCAAGGTTCTGAATGAGGACGTACGCCCAGTGTTCAATTTAAGTCAACAACAACATGGCCTCGCCTTTCAATAGCGGTGTAAGACTGGGATGCCCTATCTCGCCAACTTTGTTCTCCTTATGCATTAACGATCCAGCAGATGACATTAACTCTGTGGTATGTTGATAATATGCCCTTTCATTGCTATTGTTCGCAGGTGATAATGTTCTCCAAGCCAAAAAGGAACAATCATTACAATGTTGGATACTGTATACTGATGGAGATTACAAGATACAAGTGGAAAAATAAAATGCATTTTAGAAAACATTGTTCAGCAGATACATTTAGGTATAAGTACCTTGACTTTTGGACCGGCTTCGTGGTCTAGTGGTAGAGCGTCTGCCACGAGAGCGGAAGGTCGGGGGTTCGATCCCCGGACGCGTTATACCAAAAGACGTTTCAAGATGGTACTTGTTGTTACCCTGCCTGGCGCTCGGCATTCAGGGGCTAAAACAAGGACTCGTCGGTTCGGAGTCAGTATACTGTGTCTGAGTCGCGCATTCGTTTTAAACTGAGGCATTGTATCTCAGTAGGCTGGCACTATAAAATCGGCGTTATTGCGGACTAGTACAAGCAGCCACACACACGTCGCTACATAAGTGCAATAGCCTTGAACGCGACGCTAAACCTGACCTTACCTGAACTCACCTCACCTCACCTCAACCTCACCTCACCTTGGTTTTAGGATAAATGAAAACTTCGACACAAACGAAATCGCGAAAGCAGTCAGCAAAGCCTTGTCAAACGTTCAGGAGACGTGAATTGAAGGAGGGGAATGGCTCATGAAAATTTCTCAAAACTTTATGAAGTATGTGTGCAACTATTATGCTCTGTGTCGCAGATGTCGGGGGTCTGAGGGAATACAATGCATCAATGCCACAAAAACAGAGCCTGTTGATTCTTCTTTCTAGGAGTATATCGACTTCAGATTGCGCTCTGAGAGGTGAAATGGGTTGGAAGAGTTGCTTGATAAAACAACGGGTTGAAATATTAAGATTTTACTCAAATCTGTTAATACAGAATAGAAGTCTCCTTGACATTGTTTTAGAATGGCCCAAGCGCAGATGGAAATTCTTGGATTTTAAAAGTTATATATATCCCTTGCTTCCAAACGTGATTTGAAAGTGGATTTTATGAACGCTTCATACTCAAAACATATTTCTCATATCAAAGAAAGGTGTTCTGTGAGAGACAGCCAGGTGTGGTTTCAAGAACTGTGGAATGATAGGAATTGAACACATGGCAATAAACCCAGAACGTACAGAACCCAGGCAAGACAGAATGGCAGAGAAGTATTTTCAGTGTACTACATTGTGTATGTCCAGACATAAGAGAAAGATACTTGCAAAATGTCGCTGCATCTCATAACCATTAGGAATGGAAAAAGGTCGTAATGCAAGGCAGTTCACGCCTTTAGATGCTCGACTTGGCTACACTTGTAAGGCGAAACTCACTGCTTAACATATTGTTCAACATATGACTGTATTAGATATCAACTGTTTAGATATCGGTGTGTACCGATTAACTTTACAGACCTCATCGCAACAGACAAACTCAAGTTTATTTTCTGTGTGATATTTAAAATACTCTCGCAGACACTTTATTAAACACAAAATTACCTAATTCAATAGCAAGATGTTAGTGCGAAATTATTTATATGTTCACAACAAGTTATATGCTGGTATTTGAACGCTGTATATCATGTATATATGTAGGCATTATATATATATATATATATATATATATATATATATATAATATATATATATATATATATCACTAGGTATGTTGTGGGTAGGAGTGTTGGGGGAACAGAAGGGTGTTTATGTGAGGGTATTTGAATATTTAAGGTGTTGTAGTGTGTGTGTGTGTGTGTGTGTGTGTGTGTGTGTGTGTGTGTGTGTGTGTGTGTGTGTGTGTGTGTGTGTGTGTGTGTGTGTGTGTGTGCGTGCGCGCGTGCGTGTGCGTGTGTGTGTATGGGTTGGTGTATGGGTGGGTGGGATGGAGGGTTTGGGGTGATGGGGTGGTGGTAGTATGAGAGCGGGGGGGGGGGGGGGGGGGGTTAAATGTTTGGTACGTATTAATGAATACAAGTGTATGGACGTGTCACTTGGGTAGGTAGGGGTGGGGTGAGGTATGGGTAAATATTAAATATGTCGGTGTAATGGTAACGGGGGGTAAGATGAACGGTGGGGAGTTGTGGGAGTGGATGTGTGTCACTTAGTAAATATACAATATGTCAATATTAATGTTGGAAACGGTGATTTATTTTACCTTTTATTATGCGTAAATCCTTGATTTGTTCACCATGTCTTATGTACAAGTATTTAGGTATTTATCACTGTCTGTACGAAGGGCGAGAAAAAAACTAATATTTTTTTATATATCTATCTCTTCTCTTTCCAATGCCTGGGACGCTCGAGACCACAATTGCTCATGCTTCTATCTTAAAAGTACAAGGAATACAAAATCCTCAAACGATTCATTGCATTTAAACAGTTTGAAAACAGTATACTCAATATGGTTAATACCCACTGATAATACCTAACGCCACAATTGGGAATATTCCACTTGAAATGATACTTATAATGCCTTTTTAATTTGAATGACCAAATCAACTGCATTAAAGTTGAATATTATATTTCAATAATAACCGATTGAGGAGATGGAATGATCAGTTGTGTTGTACAAGCTTGTGATGTTGTGGGCGGTATATATTCTGGTTATATACTGGTAAAATACTGACATGGCGCGGCATGACTACTTCATGACACTTTGATCATTTCATTTTTGTGCTTCCATTGATCCGGGGGTTGATTTTACTGTACACCTGGAGAAACGTTAAACACCCATGAGATAATGAGTTACAACGTCCACATTAGTTAAAAATGATAGATTATAGATATGATTTTATATAATCTCTGGCTCAATTAATACTGACCGATTTGTTTGACCTTCAACCTTGACATGTCTTGATTGAGATAGTATCCAAACATTCACTGAAATGTGACAAAGTTACCGACTAAAAACTGACACCAGGCCAAGTGTGGACTGCTCATGGGCTATTTGACCTTTTAGATAGTTTCTGATTGGCTCTGATTTCCTTACTTTACCTTCCATTTATAAAGGATTTTTAAACAATAGATCCTAATTCAAACACTTTTAATATTTGTTGAGGATAACATCCACGAACCCAAACGTGAGTGTTGGGCAGTTGTTGCAGTTGATTCTGAAGCCGGAATTCACTGGCTATTCTGAAATGTATTTTGCGTAAGTAAAACAGACGGAAATATAGATCATTATGCAAAATCGTAGTAAAAAAAAATTATATATCAACCAAAACATGGTTCAAGTCGGAGAGGTCACTCGAATCTGTTGATTCTCGTGATTTCTCCTGACGGTTATGTTTAAGAGGTAGAACGTGATAATGAAAGCGAGAATCACTCAAACTATAAAAAGAAATATGATATCATAAACTTATACTCGTCATTGTCATCATCATATGAAGCACTTAAAGTACAACTCCGAATTTATTTCTGTTTTTATTTCAGTGCTGATTGTTTGAGGATTTGAACTGATCTCAATATGTTGTTAAGATACGGAAAACGCCAAATGACAATAAACGCCCAACATGCTCCAAAACATTAAAAAAAATAAAGAATAATTAAGTAATCGCCTTTATCTAAAAAATCAATGTGTGAATAAACTACAACCTCTTTAGACAATATCACTGTCTGAGTACCGATACGCCCGATTATAATATAGTTTACGTGAAAGAAAATATCTTATAGATATAATTAACCGAGTCCAAACTGCACATCAAACAATATCACCAGCAGTGATTCAGCAAATGATGAGGACCGCCTCCGTGGTCTAGTGGTAGAGCGTCCGCCCGGAGAGCGGAAGGTCCGGGGTTCGATCCCCGACCGCGTCATACCAAAAGACGTTACTAGATGGTACTTGTTGTTACCCTGTCTGGCGCTCGGCATTAAGGGTCTAAAACAAGGACTGGTCGGCTCGGAGTCAGTATACTGTGTCTGAGTGGGGTATTCATGTTAAAACTGCGGCATGGTATCTCAGTGAGCTAGCACTATAAATCGGCATCAGTCCGGACTAGTACAAGCAGCCACACAAACACACACACGTACATGCACGTCGCTATATAAGTGCAATAATCTTGGACGCGACGTTAAACCCCATTTCACCTCACCTCACCTCAAATGATGAATACATAACAAAGATGCTCCGTACAACTCAAGATTTAGTGCAATAGTCACTGCCTGTCAACGTCCTGAGACAAGGTAGACTAACATCTAGTCTCTGAAATGAACATATCGTACAGAAAAAAACAGTTGTCCAGTTATCTTAATAAAAATATAATAAAAGGGAGCCCAGTGACTCTCTTCCTTTTCAGATACTGCAGTAATCTAGACTTGCCAAATATCATAGACTTGCATGGGCTGTATTCGATATATATTTGTATCAGGGTCTGTAAGACAGACCAAACACAAGGATCAAGGTTCTGTTTTGTAGTTTTCTCCTTGACCGTGAAACAGAAGGTGAGAGGTTCTGGGCGCGATATCATAATTGGTTCACACTCCAACTTTCTTCAATGGTAACGTCAATTAACGCCGTAGACGTCTCTTACTGACGGTAACACATCCTTTGATTACTACATGCTGTTGATGACGTCAGAGACGCAAAGTGCTGCAAACAGTCTCAGTCACACACTGCGTCGGTACATTGTTGCCATGGTAACCCTTTGGTTCCCGACAAAGAACAGAATACGCAGAACTAGTAATTAGCCTGACCATCATGTCCGCCAGAGTTGTCATGTACAATCATGGCTCAACAAATCATATGGTTGCACCTGTACAATTTTGGAATAGTCTCACAATCCATGAGGGGGCACGGGTGGCCCAGTCGTCTAAGGCGCTGCGATTCGCTGTGCAGAGTTGCGTCCCTTGGGCACGCCAGAAACCTATGATTGTGGGTTCGAATCCCGGTTCGCCCCAATTATGTTTCTAGGTTTGTCAGCACCATACCGTGCTGGTGGGTTTCACCGAAGTGGTAAACGTCTGAGACCTGCATCACTTTGGGCTTTCCTCCCACATTAAGCTGACACGCCGTGATATAACTGTAATAATGTTAAAAGCGGCGTTAAACCCAACTCACTCACTCACAATCCATGATTGCAAAAAAAGCTTGTAAGATTTATTCGCCCCTATATATGCCTTTGTAAGTCACTGTTAGTCAGTCGGTCGGACAATAGTTAAGCCGTTAAGGCCTTGCTAACTGCCTTTCTAACGGTCGTTTTAGCTTGCTTTCATAGCTAGGTTACTGTTGATTGACCGGCGTGTCAGGTACAAAGGCAGTTTCCACCCTTGCCGAACTAGGCTGGTATTATGGAGTTACTTTTTGGCTGGACTAACGAGTTTATGCATAGTCCAATCAAAATCTCGCAACGAAATCGAAATCCGGTTCGTAAACTGTCGTGCAGATTACGGTCGATTGAAGGATTTTCAAAGCATGTGCACCGCCAAATCGTTGTCAACAGATATTTTCCAAACCTTTTCATGTTTTTAATCAAGGTGCTCGCGTGATTTGATGCACTTCGCGATGTAAGACCCGTTTTATCACAATATAGATCTTGATTAACGATCAGATCGTCTTGACTGGGCGCCGCCATTTTGTCTTCAGTGCAAATGATGGCATCGGATTGGTCCATAGGAGAGGCTCAGAAGGGACATAACTCATTCAAACCACTGGTGTTGCTACGATCGAGCCCATTAATTCCAGCCAAGTTCGGCAAGGGTGGAAACTGGACTTTTGAAGTCAGTTAACTCTCTTGCCTCGGGAGGATGCAGGCACGTTTTAGTGAATTTTGTAAACGTGTCAATTTTAAAACTGTTCTACGTCACAGCGCCAAATATAATTTCAGAACTGAAACTGACTTGCTTGGTTCCCCATCGATTCAACAGCAAGGGAACAGACAGGGCGACAGGCAGAGGTACCCAAGTCGACACTCAAACTGCTCAACTTCAGCCATCAACAGCCACATCCTATCAAACACACCGAAAGTCTTCATGTCTCAGAAATAAATATGTCAAGCATGTATGGTGTTGCCAGGTAATGTCCGTGGGTAGGGGTACTCATTACTGTGAAACAAGGACAATTGCTGATATTGTTTGCGTCCTTTACATATATTCAGATCAATTTACTAATAATGATTAAAATTGCAGTTAATTAACATGGGATGTTTTACAGCTGTGGATAGTTGAACACATATTACGTAGCGAATCATGACGTGAATTTCACACACACACACACTCTCTTTCTCTCTCTCTTTCACACACATACACACTCTCTCTGTCATACACACACTCTCTCTCTGTCACACACACATACTCTCTCTGTCACACACACATACACACACACTCTCTGTCACACACACATACTCTCTCTGTGTCACACACACACACTCTCTGTCACACACACATACTCTCTCTGTGTGTCACACACACACATACTCTCTCTGTGTCACACACACACACACACACTCTCTCTGTGTCACACACACATACTCTCTCTGTGTCACACACACATACAAACACACTCTCTGTCACATACACACACTTTCTCTCTGTCACAGGCACACATACTCTCTCTCTCTGTCACACACACATACTCTCTCTCTGTCACACACACATACTCTCTGTGTGTCACACACACATACTCTCTCTGTGTCACACACACATACTTTCTCTGTGTCACACACACATACTCTCTCTCTCTGTCACACACACATACTCTCTCTCTGTCACACACACATACACACTCTCTGTCACACACACATACACACACACTCTCTGTCACACACACATACTATCTCTCTGTCACACACACATACTCTCTCTGTGTCACACACTCATACTCTCTCTCTGTCACACACACATACTCTCTCTCTGTGTCACACACACATACTCTCTCTCTGTCACACAAACACACTCTCTCTCTGTCACACACACATACTCTCTCTCTGTCACACACACATACACACACACTCTCTGTCACACACATACTCTCTCTCTCTGTCACACACACATACTCTCTGTGTGTCAACACACAAACTATCTCTCTGTCACACACACATACACACACACTGTCTGTCACACACACATACTCTCTCTGTCACACACACATACTCTCTCTGTGTCACACACACATACTCTCTCTCTGTCACACACACATACACACTCTCTGTCACACACACATACTCTCTCTCTGTCACACATACACACTCTCTGTCACACACACATACACACACACTCTCTGTCACACACACATACACACACACTCTCTGTCACACACACATACTCTCTCTCTGTCACACACACATACTCTCTTTCTGTCACACACACATACTCTCTCTCTGTCACACACACATACACTCTCTCTGTCTGTCACACACACATACACACACACTGTCTGTCACACACACATACTCTCTCTGTCACACACACATACTCTCTCTCTGTCACACACACATACACTCTCTCTGTCTGTCACACACATACACACACACTCTCTGTCACACACACATACTCTCTATCTGTCACACACACATATCTCTTCTTATCAATATTAGCATCGACTGGTTGTCTAAGGTCAAGAATAAAATCAACAGCTTGAGATTCGCTTGTAAGTCTTATCATATATTCGATTTACTTATATGTGTTTTGTGGAATGTTACAGCACGAACATCATGAGACGATTAAGTGTAATCCTTCAGGATGGACGGAAACACTCTCGTGGACAAAAACACACACATACACACTCCCGTAAAATGGTACAAAAGAACCCTTGTAAATTAATGGCACAAAAGCTCCTTTGAATATTAAACCAACTTTCAGCAGATAAGTTCGAGTAAACATGGAATACTGTAAGGGACATTCTCGCGATCTCGCCTTCTCGCGATCTCGACCTTTGGAAACGAGCTAAATATGCCCAAAACACGAGAATGCGAGATCGCGAGAATATCCCTTACAGTATTCCATAAGTAACAGGTACTAACTCGTTGAACTTCTAAATATATTATTAGAGTATACTTACTTCCCACAAATTACTACAACATGCCCTAGTATTTCAGTCAGTTACCTGTATATCGCGTTGTGTCCGCACCTGTCCTTACTGGATACAGAATATTGACTTGCAAGAACTTTCGCTTCCATTTATAGCTCAGGAACTCAAGTTTATTGCACCACCCTATCTTTGACTGACGCAACTGCGATTAGACTCATTGCACCTGCTGACCCTGTAAGCATCTGGCCTGATTATGTGACACGTTGACATTCCACTCCACCTCACCCACTTACTCACTCTCTCCCACACCCGCGAATACCTGGGTTAGAATAGATCATCAGCAACCCATGCTTGTCGTAAGAGGCGACTATGCTTATCGTAAGAGGCGACTAACGGGATCGGGTTGATGCATGTCTTCGTATCGCAATTGAGTAAATCGATGCTCATGATATCAATCATAAGACTGCCTGGCCCAGACTCGATTATTTACAGACCGCCGTCATTATAACTGGAATATTGCTGAGTGCGGCGTGAAACACCAAACAAACAAAATAACACGCACGCACGCACGCACGCACGCACGCACGCACGCACGCACGCACGCACGCACCCACCCACCCATCCACGCACTCACTCACTCAGTTCAAGGGGACAACTTGTTCTTATCAACACAGTCACTGGAATGCCTTAGTCATGTTTTTCAAGTAGGTCACTGCCCTCACTGTGTGTATGTATGTTCAACACATTCAACTTCTACGTGCGGTTACAGATCTTTGAAAACCATTTAGAACAATTTCCAATTCCCTAAATTGCCAGTGAAAGAGTTGGGTTGAACGCCCCTTCGCACATTGTTTCAGTTTCACCCCAGTATGTAGTAGGGAAACCCAAAGTGACGCAGGTCCAAAACGATATTTGGCGAAACCCATGAACACATGTATAGTTCTGTCAAACGATTGATCATGATCAAATCTTGGCTTAGTGCTACCCAGTCTTATAACTGAATTGCTGTTCAAATGGACTTCATAAAAACACACCCAGTCACTTTCTGTACTGGTACATATAAGTTCAAACGTCCTACCTTTACAAATAAACCTGGGGAGCTCTGTCTTTCTGTGGCGATTGTCGAATGTTGAGATAAGGTCATCTTATCAGGGGTTAGATAAGTATGGCTTAACGATTTGAAACTATATATGTTTGACCATGGTGTAGTTAGAGATTTACACGTTGACAATACACGTCGACTTAACAACTTCAACAGTGAATAAACACACTGTTGCTTCACGACTTCGTAATACAAATGAATGCACAAAAAATCATTGCAGGATCTATTTGTGTATATATGTGTTTGTTGCTTGTTTTTTAACACCGCACTCAGCAATATTCCTGCTATATAACGGCGGTCTATAGATAAAGGAGGCTGGACCAGACAATCCAGTGATTGGTTTATATACTCAAATAACAAAGTTAGGCAATACACCTGTAAGGTCAACTATTTTCTTTTTCTATTGAACATAACATAATTGATATCTGAACGAGACGGTCACCTTCCAGTGCCTCACAGGCAGCTCGGGTTGTATATTCCCCAAGGAGCTGAGAATGAAAATTAACTGCATACTGATCCATTAAACGGGGTAATATTGAAGCGCGTTGTGCATGTTGTAGGGCAGTAGTAGTAGTGATAGTTGTAATTGTAGATGTAGTATCATTATTATCATCCTCCGCCGCGAAGTGGCAAGGGGATATAGGAAGAGGTGCTGTCCTTTCGTCCATCCATCTTTTCGTCCGCCACGTTTCGTTTCAGGAGCAGAACTAAACCAAATGTAATATATCTTAACCAAACTTGGAACATAGATAGGTCTAGTGCTGAACTGGTGCCTTTTGATAGTTCGGGATTTTCAGAAACGACTTTGTCTTAGACCGCACATGTCATATTGGCGGGGGATATGGGTATTTCATGCTTGTAAGTAGCAGTAGTAGTAGTAGTAGTAGTAGTTGTAGTAGTGGTAGTAGTAGTAGTAGTTGTAGTAGTAGTAGTAGTTGTAGTAGTAGTAGTAGTAGTAGTAGTAGTAGTTGTAGTAGTAGTAGTAGTAGTAGTAGTTGTAGTAGTTGTAGTAGTAGTAGTAGTAGTAGTTGTAGTAGTAGTAGTAGTAGTAGTAGTAGTAGTAGTAGTAGTAGTAGTAGTAGTAGTAGTAGTAGTTGTAGTAGTAGTAGTAGTAGTAGTAGTTGTTGTAGTAGTAGTAGTAGTAGTAGTAGTAGTTGTAGTAGTAGTAGTAGTAGTAGTAGTAGTAGTAGTAGTAGTAGTAGTAGTAGTAGTAGTTGTAGTAGTAGTAGTAGTAACATTTAACGTTGCCTATATATTTAGAAGAATATAATATTTTTTTCAAATAAAGTATCAAATGTAGGTATGATGTGTTTTCAGGTGGAAACTTTGACATGATGAGCACGTGGGATGTGGGCGGCAAGATGTTTATACAGATTCTACACTAAGTCTTTGTCTTTGCTGTCGGTACCATCATAGAACCACTCACGGTGGAACCGTTCAGGGCTGACAAAAAAACATACAACGCGACCTTGTGACATACATAACGTTCCGCAGTCTTATAACTAGAGCAACGGACCACAGACCCTTGTGTCGTTGTTTAAATATTTCTAGATCAAATAATATCACGAGTGTCAGAAAAGCACTATCCTGTTCAACCTTTACACAAGTATCACTTGTTGAAGATCAGTATATTCTGTAGGACTTTTGAGCTTTGTTTTTGCATGATTTCCACCATATAAACATAGATGGCAACTTTAGCGTTCTTCGGATATTTTTTTCACGCTTGCTCTACCTAACATTACAGAAGAGACTAGGCAGATCATGAAGTGAGTGAGTATTGTTTTACGCCGCTTTTAGCAATATTCCAGCAATATCACGGCGGGGGACACCAGAAATGGGCTTCACACATTGTACCCATGTCGGGAATCGAACTCGGGTCTTCGGCGTGACGAGCGAACGCTTTAACTACAAGGCTACCCGACAGCCATCTGCTACAGTAGCGGCGAGGTATGATTCTAGGTATTCACAATGCATCCATCATACGTAGGAATTTAGGGGACATATAAATGTATGTGTTAATGTTGGTCATTCAAGCGGCAAGGTCTTTGATAACTCGTGGATATAGGGCTGCATAACAGCATACTATAACTGGGTGAGCAGGCTGTGACAAAACTGCAACTGGACATTCAACATGTTTGATGTTTTCAAACTTAAACCCATGCTTCATTTCACCGAGGAATCTTATGAAATTAGTGTATCCCAACTTGCACAAGTTCGGGTTATCAAAACACGCTTACCCAAGCGCATTTCTGGTGTTTCCCCGCCTTGAGAGAGAGAGAGAGAGAGAGAGAGAGAGAGAGAGAGAGAGAGAGAGAGAGAGAGAGAGAGAGAGAGAGAGAGAGAGAGAGAGAGAGAGAGAGAGAGAGAGAGAGAGAGAAAGACAGAGAGAGAAAGACAGAGAGAGACAGAGAGAGAGTGAAAGACAGAGAGAGACACAGAGTGAGTGGGAGATTTATGTGTCACGGGTTATTATAATTTATAAATTAAATAAATTAAGCTCAGCCATATATAAGGCTTATGAGACACAAGAAAACAGTAAACACACAAAAGTTCCTGTGACATTGAATAAGATTTGATGCAAAGTTATATTTTTTAACAAATCTGAAACCATTTCGGTTTGCAACAGATAATCCAACATGTGCTTGATTTGTGAGAGATCAGGGGAGCGAGCCGGCCAGGGGATGACATTCACGTTGTTTTGTTGAAAAGAATCATGACCAAGTCGAGCAATATGAGGCCGGGCGTTGTCATGTTGAAAGGTAATGCCTGGGCCATGACGACGCAAAAACGGAAGAACACCAGGGCCGATGGTCTCGTCGCGGTAGCGCTGTCCATTGAGATTTCCCTCTACCACTATCAAACTGGTCCTCTGTCTTGCTGTAATCCCACCCCATACCATAACGCTGCCGCCTCCGAACCGATTATTGGTTACGCGTGGACTGCCACTCCGAGGATGGTCTCTGACTGCATTCGTCTGTTGCCAAAGTTGCCATAAAAACAAAATGGTGTTTCTGTGGACGTTAAATTGTCTTGCAACATCCCGTTGACTCGAACCTGCTTCAAGCATAGAAATGGCTCGCAGACGCTCATTTTCGGACAGGCGTGGCATTTTGTAATGTTGAATAATTGCGTAATTTTGTTGTTTTTCTGAGTGGTTGTTGTCAGCACGATGCTAAACAATGCATATGGAATCCCGTTAACGCACATGTTTTTATATCCATTCTTGGGTAGTGACATGCATGGGGCTTGCAAACTTTTGCATGGAATGCACGCTTTTCTGTAGCAGTTGCGTTTTTGTGACTTGATTCCATACATGTACTACAATATTGAAAACCAAACTTTACTTGTTTGAAAAATACACTTAAATATTAGTGTCACAGGAACTTTTGTTGTTGAGTATATATTCTATCTGGAAGAGGGGTTGGTGGTTTGTTAAAACGTCCATTTTCAATGGCAAGAGGTAAAGCTCCACATCTGAACAAAGCTAAAATTGGTGGTTCCTATATTTTGCATATAGAATATACGACTCCACAACATTTTGCGTCCTAAATTGCCAGTACGTTCTGAAGCTTAATGTCATTTACATTATTTCGGCCATTACACAATTTTCGGCTCCATCTTTTCTTATCACCTTTAATGAGAATATCTTTCTTGTTTGGGGCGAGGTTAAAATGTCATTAAGGTTATTATTTCAGGCAATCTTTACAATTCTATTTCTCCACGATTTAAAATTTCTTTTTGACATATTTAATATTTTCTTATTCAAATTGTAACGGGTATCAGTATCATCACGAAGCTTTATACAGCATCTAAAATCGTGTATATGTTGTTTAACTACTGGCGTTAGGAGTCTGTAATATTCATTCTATGTCAGGGCGACCTGACGATTATCGAGTCTGGGTCAGTCAAATCAGTCACAGATTGATATTATTGGCATCGTCACACGATTTCGGGGTAGACTGACACACAAGAGTCCATGTCAACGTGCCATTTCCGCCTGATCCTCTGA